TGCACCTGTGAACATACTGCTAATGCTGCAAACCTGTCTGGAAGGTAGACAGGCACACTTATGACATGCTCCAAGAACTTAAGCAATGCTACAACAAGTGCTCTGTCTCCTCCCCATCTTCATGCTTCATGCCCTATTGCTTGTCATTCTCAGCTTATAGTACAGTTATCAAAATAAGGATTAGTCTCAATTTACTTTTTTTACCAAACATTTGAGTCACTGCTATATACTACTGCTGTTGTATCTGTGCTCCCAGCTGAAGACCACTGTATTTTAGGGGCTTCTTCAGACAACAATCCTTTAAACCCGACTGCTACAAAGCAACAAACCAGATCTGTCAATGCACCGGGGCAGGGGCTGTTTTATAGTACTCCCCTCTTGACTCTGCTTAAGCTGTAGGAAACACTGCAGTATGTGGCACTGCCCCTTTAGCACAGATAATGGTCTGCCTTAAAAAAAAATGAACCAATGCCACTCTGAGAACAACCTTAAACTCACAGCTCTGCTACTGCCCAGACCAGACTCTCAGAGCTGGTCCAGACACTCAGTAGACATTGGCAACATGAGACTAAACACGCCAAGCAGTCCTTCAGCCTTGGAGCAGAGCACTCAGTGCAAGGGGACAGGATTGGTTTGAGGACCTTGACCCCATGCAGAGCCTCAGCTCTTCCTTCCCATCTGTCGTCTTCGTCACCTATTTTCACAGCTCCCCAGGAGGAAACAGTGACATGGATCACAGGAGTCACTATCTGAACGCCTGCATGGTGGGAAACACTTTCCACAAGGTGACTATGAAAACACGAAGCCATGTAAAACAGGCTCTCAGGAAAGGCCAGTTAGAATGGCTTGTCCCAAGGGTAAGGAAACAGGCGCCTTGGATGGCACATGTCACCCCATCTGCTACAGCAGGCACTCCAAGCTCCTGGCTACTTCCCCAAAGAAATAGGACAGCCTGTTTTATCCAATACAAACAAAACATTAAAAAAATGGGATCTATCACCACAACCCAAGAACTGAGTAATTTTCTAAATGTTTAAATCACATTGCAATGGTACCATGACTGTGAGGTGCAGCTGACTTTGCTCTTCTGCTCTAGCCATCAGATTAAGCCACTGAAAGCTTTTAATTTAAAATGTAGTAATGTACCCTGGGTTAAACATATCAAGCCACTGATTTTAGTCAATGACAACTTTGGATTTTAATATGTTACATAAAGCCACTACAGTTCTCAATAACAGATAAACTGTGCATCACAAACTTTTCGGCTTCCAGGTCCTTAATTTTCTAATTCAGATTACTGGACAACACTGCTTTTTAAAACTTCAGGTGGCACCTGAGCACCTGCATCCCTAAAGAAGGATAAATAGCTTTACCTTAGCTATGAACAAATTTGCATGCAAGATCTCACCATTTATACTTGAAAGTAGCTTCATAGAGAAAAGCACAGTATTTCTCCTTGATTTCAAAAGGGTAAAAGGCTAGTTCACAGGTACAAAACTCTAAAAAATCTCCCCATGCAACATCTACCACATGCTGTATCCACTTCCACAGTGTGATATGACATTTTATGACAGTGTGATAGGACATTTTAATATATAATATACAAAGTAAAATAATAAACTGCACAAAAAAAAAAAAATTCAATGAAAAAATCTCTTCCTCCTCCAAACACAACACTGCTTCTTGTAAAGGTATGCAGAGCATGCTGAGATCACCAGGCAGAGTACTGATTTCTCTCAAGACAGGTTAGATATCATACATTTTAACAACTCTACCCCTAACTTTTTATTCTTAAACCAATTTAACAGTAAGCACCAATAATAGCTTTTCTGCTCTTTAAGTGGTGCTCAAAAGTTTATTCTAGACAACAGACAGCTTCCTATCGCATTAGATTTTTTTAGCTAGACCCATGCTGTCAAAAATTTGCTGTTAAAATTGTACCAGAATAAATAGGTTTGACCTTGTAGTGTCTTAAAAGCTAGCCAGGATTTTATCTGGTTCATATTAGATGGGCAAAAACACCTTGCTTGAATTATTTTGAAATATTTTATGCAATCACTAACTACAGGTGGTTTAAATGACTGTTGTGCTCTACAGGTGAATTACTATTTGTTACCTAAGTTTTATACTTACTTTTCCATTCACTGGGGCGGACAATGAATGCAGTAACAAATTAACAGGCTGCAATCAAGTTGCTATGTACCAGCATCAGATATCATAATCCAAACAAGAGAAGGACTGGAAAACTTTCAAATGGGTGTGTTTTAATGGTCTGAACTACAGCTACTAGCTCAGCCCTCAGGACCACATCATCAGGACTGAGGAGACCACCAGAAGTTCTCTCTTCTTTCCCAACCTCCTCTGAAGGTAGGATTAAATTTACACAAATGATTTCTGAGTAGTACTTCTTAAAACCTTGAATGATTTCATAGCCCCAAAAATTTATCTCAGCGCTTCAGTATCTTTACTGCAAGGCAGTATCCCCTCTTACCAAACCTAGGTAGTTCTCCACTGCCGTGCACATCCATGACTTCACTTCCAATTTACCACAAAGAAAAAAATTAATTTCACTTTTTTTCTCCTCCTTTCCAGTTTGTGCAGATGGGTTTTGGAGAACGGGAGGATTCATCCCACTGTTTCCTGCACAGAGTATAGTGCACCTTGTCATCCAACACTGTTCATTCCCCACCACCCATGCAGCACGTTCGGTCACATACAGCCGTACTACTGCACATGCTTCACCTCAACCAATGAATCTGAAACACCAAAAAGGTGAGAAAATGCAAGCTTCATCACGAGGTAGGTCAAGAAATGTAGAATTAAAGTTCCCATGGTAGCCCAACGGTGCTTCTCATAAGACCACTTTTCTTCAAGGTCTTCTATGCTATAAACACATAGCACTGAATTTACTTCCTACCCACTAAGAAGCTTTGGAAAACTGTCTTTTCTAAACCAACAGGTGGAAAAGCAGTTTGGCTGTTGTCACAATTACATCACAACTTCAGCAGCACTTTTACACAGAATGAAACTCATCTCTGGCTACAGAACTTTTAACCCAATCCTCCAAATGTGATCAGAAGCATTGGTGTCTTCCTGATTTCACAGTGCTGCTCGAAGCAGCAGCAGAGTAAAACTTGAGAAAACTTCAGTCAGTGACTCTTACTACGTAGAACCCCTATAGGCAAGAATGAAATTACTGAAAATTGTGTTCAATTCATGCTGTAGCTACTCAGCTACAGGCCACAGCAAGGAGGTATTTTAAAACTGCTCTTAGGGAATAAACATGACCCAGGGAAAGTGCTTGCGGTAAAATAAACAAACAAATAAATAGTAGAGTTTTGTTGACTAGGTCTGGTGAAGGCATCACACTTTCTTCTCTCTCAGTTATTACTCTGAAAAGCATGAAACTGAAATCCAGTTCATTACCAAGGAGTCCTACATCATGTGCACAAGCTAGTTTATTTAACACATATAGCTAATTGATAAATTGCAGTAGTCTGAATAGATTTTGTTTTATAAAGACCAGCAGCTCCAGAGAAAAATTCCAACAGACAGAAATAACTTCAGGTGTGTAAGCTGCAGGAAGCAGTATATATTATTTAGTTTCACACAAATACATTAGATAGAAACGTATTGAAAAAATAGTATGAAACTGCAGTACTTTTCTGATAAAACAGAAGAAAAATCAGAGCAGCATTTTAGCCTATACAGTTTTCTTTGATAACAGTCCCAGAGAACAGAAAAACAGAATGAGTAAAGTTTACAAAAAGCTAACCAAAAGCTGTATACTTTTTAATCTAAAGCAGGCAACTATTTTGTAAAGAACTGGTAAATGTGTCTGCAAGGGAACAGCAAACGTTTCAAGGCTAAAGGGCTGCACAAATGCATTAATACAATAATAAGTATAGAGGACACACAGGCTATCTGCTGAGCCATGCGCAAGCTAGTAACACTGGCTGTCAAGACTCCCCCATTAAATGATAACAAAAGGCACCTAGTAAGAGACAGTGAAAATCAATTAACTGGAGAAATGACAAAAGAAATAAAATACAGCCGCCAAGCACTCTTCAGACATACAAAATGAAGTTTTCTGCAGCTTTAACAAGCAGAATGTCGTGTTAAACAAACAAAAATTACAATGTTCTTTTAAATCAGGTTAACTCTGCAAAATATCAAGTACCTGCAGTTCCTGCTGAAACAAAAAGGGATTTGAAATAAGTTGGCTCTTTGCAGGGTAACCCCCTTTGTTAAATAGCCAATGTAAAGAAAAATCTAGGTTAACCGTTTCCAGAACACAGACATTCATCTGTAACTTTAAACTCTACTTCTAGCCCAGGGACAGATGTTCTGCAGTCCTTCCTGCTGGCTGCCTGCCTCTGTCCTCATGGCTGCACTAACACAAAATAATGCCTCCCATGCCAGACTGCCCCAGTGAAGGTATTAAGGGTAGATATCGGTCCTTAAAAATACACTGCACCCTTCTGCAAAAAAACACTTTCACTACTGAAATAGTCCTTGTGAGCGTCCTCTTCCCCATTTCCCTTCTCTGCCCTCTGTGCCTTTTCCGACCTCTCACAAGTAGCTGCATCCCTGGAAATGACACTGTACAACAACGAAAGTAATCACCAAATAAAACATCTCTGATGTGCTTCTTACACTAAAGTATAAATGGAGTTAAACTCAGAACTTACTGAAACTGAAGACACTGTTTTGGAAACACTCCAAAGACTAAATGGAAATGGCCAAAAGACACACGATTTTCCCCTTTCCCGTTCTAGAGTGCTCTGCCAGGTAACACATTTTCTTGTCTCTTGACAGCAAAAGCATATTTGTCCTATACCTACATTTGAGTGGGTTAACCCCACTAACGTTCCTGATGTGCTGCAGGCAGAAAAACAAATAAGCTTCTTCCAAAGCCTGAAATTTGGATATGTTTGCAAAGAGTCTGGTAAAAACTGCTGTCCCTTTAGGACACGTCTATGCCAGCAGTAGCATCTTACCTCTCAGTACTGACTTGAGGTTCAGCTTGGCTTGCCGGTGCAGGTCCTCAACACAAGGTGGTCTCGAGGAGGGCAGGAAGACATTTTCCTGCTGGTGCCACGGAGCAGTGTAGTGCACAGTCCATCTACTCTCTTCATCTAGGTTGGAAACAGCTGCAGAGAGAGACAAGAAAAAGAAAATTAAATGCTACAGTAGACAGCTATACCATGAAAACCCACATGTAAGTTTGTCACACACCACCTTAAAATGAAAAAGATTGTTTGCCACTGTAGTCCCATCAAAACACTTTATAGAACTTCACTTCCCTGACAGTTAAAAACCCTCCTCTCGTTTCTAGTCTAAATTTATGTTATGTACAAAACACCTTTCCCTCTTCCTGTGTTTATTTACTCTGTATTACAGAGTAAATACAACTCCCGTGCTGTATTTGTTCTGAACTTGCAACTCTGTTTTCCTGCTTCTAGCTCCCAGTCTTCACAAACGAGACCAGTTTCCCCATCCCCTGATCCCGCCAGGCGCTGTGTGTTGCAGGATAGCTTCCTCGTGCTCAAAGGTGACCCTGGGAACATGACAGTTGCTATGAGAGATTACGACAGGTTCATTTGTATGGGGAAATAACCTTCTCTAACCTCACGCTTGCTCAAACCAGGAACAACGATTCCAGTGAAGCCAATAAATTAGCTACTTTCCATCGCTGTGAGTGGAAAGCAGATCTGGACAACAGCAACTCCCTGGGCAAACACTGCTCAGAGCACAACAACACTGAAGAGGATTGCTCTGGCCACCTCTTCTCAGCCAATACACACATGAAAATAAAATACAGACCTTGCTCAAGGAAAATAAAATACAGACCTTGCTCAAGGAAAATAAAATACAGACCTTGCTCAAGTTCAAAGTTCCCTACAGACAGTCTAGCAATGAATCAGCCAAAGCACATATTGCTAAGATTTGTTTATCATTTATGCTTCCCGAGAGACAGCCATTACCTTTTGTTTAAAGTTTATCATCAATAAAAACTTCTACAGTTGAATGGCCTTATCCCTCCACCCTGTAATAACAGGAAAAGGGCAGTTGGGGTCATATTTTATGATTCCCCAGGCACCCTTTGGCCTTCAGCCAGCATGCTGCACATCCTTGCTTTTAGCTCTCCAAAGCAGACAGAGCCATTACAGCTGTGCTGGCTCCCAAGCACCTGGCCTTTGCTGCCAGCTCCGCATCTTCCCTTCGCTTGCCTTGCTGCTGTAGCATCATTTTGTGAAGTTTGTCTGATGCCTCTGTGGTAGCAGTAAACTGAGAAGCAAAACGAAGGCAACAGCCTCCTGTCATCTGAAAAATGACTCTTTCCCTAACACCACTGTGCATCTGCCAGGATCATTTCAGATGGAAATCATCATCACTTGTTAAAGAAAATAAGCTATGCCTTTTGCTTCAAAATCCATCTACTGCCTAATGGTCAATGCCTGTTTTGTCCTGAAAGACCCTGAGGCGGGGAGGTTCATAACTACCTTTCCTTGCTTTTTTTAGATTAGTATCAGACCTCGAAAAAGGTTTTTGAAGACTTTTGATTGGTTTCTTCATCTCTGAGGTGGCTTGGTCCTGAATCCCCTCCCCTCTTGCAGACATACTGGCTGCAATGGGGTAGGTACACATTCAGTCTGTGCCTGCTTTTCCCATCCTTGCTAACTTGGGGTCAAACCTAAATCACAACAAACTGACAAGTCATCACCTACCTGGTTACAACACCAATCATCCCAATATTACAGAAAAATTGATAGGTATAGCCAATATCCTGCCCAAAAAGCCCCCCTCGCCATCCCCTGGCTGAGCAGGCAGGCGGGGAAGGGAGTAAGGCTGGGGGAGGATGAGGAGGGAAATCCCAGCCGCCAAGCCCACTGTCTGGCTTCAGTCCCACCATACCAAAATTACAAGTTTACTGCTCATCAGAGTGATGGGCATCAAAACTAGTCGACACAAGGGCTGCGCATATTTGCCGACTACTCTCTCTAGTACAACTTGTCTATCCTCCCGAATTAAATGAAAAATCGCGATTTTAAAAGCCAGTCTGAAACTAGAGCATCATTATAAAACAAAGCTCGGCTCAGAGCAAGCTCTCTGACGGTACCTCAGAGATAGAAGCCCAGAGCTACACATGCACTCAGCAGCTGCCCAAGCGGAGACAGATGACTGACAGATGCCGGGAGGATGCCCCAGCACACGACAGGATACCTGCACACGACGGCAGGTGACACCTATGCAGGATGGCAGGTGACACCTGCGCACGACGGCAGGTGACACCGACAGGCTCAGCCTTTCACCCAGCTGCTCGTTTCACACCGAGAAGTTTGGCTCCTTCAAAACCACCACGACAAAGGACTTCAAAAGCAACAGTATCCTAAAGCAGAGGTCCTAAAGCACATCATAAAGGTGCTTCTGCACAGAACAAAATACTCAGCGAAGAAGAGCAAGATAAACTTAAAAAGAGGCTTCAGGAAAGCAGGAGCAAAGCCAAAGAGAACTGCACTTTCCTGCAGGACTCGGCTGCCTCCCGACAGGACAGCCAGCACGCACAACTACTTACTCTTTCTCTTGAAAAGTTTCATGAGAGATTTAAGCTTTGTGTTGATGAAAACCACCATTTTCAAGGTGTTGAGCTGCGATCCTGGAGTTTAAATCCCATAGAAAGGAGGAGCTGCAGAAAAGTGACTGTTTTCCAGACCGAGCCTATTCAAACTGCACACCAAATTTCTTTTCTCCAGGCTTCTCCCCTCCGCCTTTCTTTCCCGAAATCACAACTTTAAATCTGTCTAGATCTTCCCGATGCACAAAACCATTTACAATTCTTTAGCCTAAATTTCTCCTCCTCACATGTAACCTTGTGGGCTGAAAACAGCCAGTTTCAACGTATGAAACAGGAGGAAGAAAAAAAAAAAAAAGTTAATTGGTGTTCAAGTTTGCGCAGGAATAAAACTGGGGCTTTCTTGCTACCCATGCATTCACTCAGTCGTTCTTCTCAGCCCTTCCTCCGCTCTCCAAGTTTGGCTGCTCCAGAAAGCCCAGGTTTGCAGGTGATGTCCCTCCTCCCCATGGC